AAGGACTTTAGAACCGGGGTGATGTGCTCTACTTCTGTATAACATAAGTCTTCTAGAAAGTCTTATGTTATACATTATTAAGCCAAAATGGTTTTTACCAAGTTTAAGGAAGTTCTAACTGATCAGCAATAATATAAACCATATAACAGCAACAACTTTAATGGTTAGCCCATCAAACAAACTATTTTCAGTGTCTTAAGGATTTCAGCTTAACACTGAAACATATACTCCAAACTTGTGTTCCATAGTTTAAATATTTAACAGCTTTACAATGTTACACCTTATCTGTTCTACTTTCCATGTAAACAGTACATTGCTACTGTTAATAAAAGGTTTTCTCTAAACTTAGCGGGAAGGTAACCTTTAACCTTTGAGTTCCATGTGTAATGAAGGTTCTAGACGGACATTTTATCATGAGTAAAACATGGAAAAGGTCTCTTCTATTCATTCCTGTGGCGTCTAACTTCTGTGACTTCTTGTGCGAATTTTTTTCATTTGAACATAAATCGTTCCACACCATGTATGGAAAATCTTTCTAACCCGTGTGAGTTCCCATGTGTCTAGTCAAATGAATTTTTTGATTAAAACCTTTGCTGCAAATCGCACAGGAGAAGGGCTTCTCGCCTGTGTGAGTTCTCATATGTTTAGTCAAATTACTTGTTACACTAAAACCTTTTCCACAAATCGTACAGGAGAACGGCCTCTCGCCTGTGTGAGTTCTTATATGTCTAATCAAATCGCGTTTATCACTAAAGCTTTTTTCACAGGACCGACATTCAAAAGGCTTCTCACCTGTGTGAACTCTTGTGTGTGTATTAAGACTGCTTTTATACGTGAAGCTTTTTCCACAGGACAGACATTTGAAAGGCTTGTCACCTGTGTGAATTCTCATGTGTCTATTCATAAGACTTTTTTTACTGAAACTTTCGCCACAAATCATACAGGAGAATTGCTCGTCACCAGTGTGATTTCTCATGTGTCTAGACAAATGACTTGTTTCAGTAAAACCTTTTCCACAAATTGTGCAGGAGAATGGCCTCTCAACTGTGTGAATATTAATATGTTTATACAAAGAACCTGTTTGATTAAAAGCTTTTCCACAAATCATACAGGAGAACGGCTTCTCACCTGTGTGAGTTCTCATATGTCTGATCATATCGCGTTTATTAATAAAGCGTTTTCCACAGGACACGCACTGGAAAGGCTTTTCACCTGTGTGAATTCTGGTATGTCTAGTAAGTTCGCTGTTACTAGTGAAGCTTTTTCCACAGGACAGACAACTGAAAGGCTTCTCACCCGTGTGGCGTCGGGTGTGTCTATCAAGAGTGCATTTATCTTTGAAGCTTTGCCCACAGGACAGACATTTGAAAGGCTTCTCGCCTGTGTGAGTTCTCATGTGTCTAATCACATGACAATTTCGACGAAAACTTTGTCCACAAATCGTACAGGAAAATGGCCTCACACCATTGTGGATTCTCATATGTCTATTATAAGCACTTTTATCAATGAAGCTTTTTCCGCAGGACTGACATTTGAAAGGCTTCTCACCTGTGTGTATGCTGAGGTGTTTATTAAAACCCTTTTTATCAACGAAGCGTTTTCCACAGGACGGACATTCGAAAGGCTTATCACCTGTGTGAAGTCTGCAATGTCTTTTAAAGTCAAATTTCTGAATGAAGCCTTTCCCACAGTACAGACATTTGAAAGGCTTCTCACCTGTGTGAGTTATCATGTGTGTAGTCACATGAGCGTTTCGAGTAAACCTTTCTCCACAAATCGTACAGGAGAATGGCTTCTCACCCGTATGACATCTCATATGTCTATCAAAACCACTTTTATCAATGAAGCTTTTTCCACAGTACTGACATTCATAAATCTTCTGACCTGTGTGAGTTCTCATGTGAACCTTTAAATGTAGTTTTTTTAGAAAACTTTCTCCACATGTCAAACATGGGAAAGGTTTCTCTTCTATTTCTCCATCCTCTTTCTTTAGAACCAGCTGCTCCTCCTGCTCACTTATGGGGATCTCCATGGTCTCCTCTTTTGTCCAGGGATCTTCTTGCTTTAGCTGCTCTTCTTTTATCTGCAGAGGTTCTGGTTCCTCTTGTTCCAACCTGGAATTCCTCTCCTGTTCAGAGAACCGCTGCTCCAAGAAAACCTCCTCTTTTCCAACATATTCCTGATGGTCTTCTGGAAAAACAAACACAAGAGAAAGACTTTCTATTGTAGGCACTTTACTTAAATCATGTGTTGATCAAACCATAGATATAGATAGACCCCGCATCATTAGTTGAGGTGTGCCGACAAAGCAGCCATCTTAGGTCAGACGAAGCGGTGGTCAGAAACGATACGCTTCAATAGAGGCTAACCGTACTGAAAACGAGAACGTTTCAAGGGTTAAATGGGAACAACTAATTAATCTGATTTTTTTTGTCTATTTTATTGTCTCATTTTGCATACAGTTTTCATGACATTTCGATTACCTAAGGCTATACACATATATATATATATATATATATACACATATATATATATAAATACATATATACATATATATATATATATACACACACACACACATATATATATATACATACATATATATATATATATACACACACACATATATACATACATATACACATATATACATACATATACACATATATACATACATATACACATAT